AAAGCACACACGACTCAGGAGGAGTCTTTAAGAAACCGTCCCCTCATTTTCTTGGTTTTAATTTCCCTACTAGATAAACTCACAACCTCTGCTCCAACTCCTTATCTCGACAGAACCGGTTGTCGATCTGATGACAGAAATGGCCAATGCCCCTGATGATAGAGCCTGGAGATTTCCACCTAGATGATTCAGATAAGGTCACTGCGGGGCTGTCACCCAACAGCACCTGCCCGTGTCCAGCTTCCCTTTGCCCCTTCTCCCAAGGACCTCAGTCCAAGGACCTCCGGGATACCCACACCACGAGTTCTGGCTGGGGTTTCTGGACTCACAAGACGGTTTGGGTCCAGGAGGCCTCCTTAACGCTGTGACAGAGTCGCGTTTAACCTTGGGGAGGAGAGAGGGACTGGGCCAGGACCACAGCCTTCTATCCCCACCGGTCCCCCATACAGGTCAGATGCTCCCCACGAACCTCCCTGGTCCCACACACTTTGAGGTGGGGAGCTGCACGGAAAGAACTCGGCAGACGAGGTCGCTGAGGGGTCAAGACCCCGGGGTCGCGGCCCAGGCCCACCTACACCGAGGAGACCGGGCCGTGCCGCCAGCGGGGACGGGCCCAGGCCCAGAGCCGACGAGGATGCCCGTCCGCCGGAGCCTGGTCATTTAGGTCCATCTCCACTCCCCCCTCGGGACACGCACCCACACACTCACCATTCCCACATCCTGAGTGTCCCGGCGTCTTTCCTACAAATCTCCCAGGACCTGCAGGTCACAGGGTGACACGGTATGAAACGAAGATACGCAACGCTGACGGAAAAGAAGACAGAGCGCCAACCCAGCCTTGTGCGCAGGCGCGCAGGAGGAAGACACCCCCCCCGTCAGAGCCCAGAAGCCGCCCCCTCACTTCCGGCTCCTGTCTGATTGGCCAGTCCAGACTCCAGCGTCCGTTGATTGGATAAAACTCCAGGCCCCACCTCTCTGGCCAATCAGATGAGAGCCGGAAGTGAAGGGGCGGCTTTTGGGCTCTGACTGGGCCTTCGTCTCATGTGTTTGCACACAACGCTGGGTTGTCCTCCGTGTTCTGTCTTCCTTTCGGTCAGTCTAGAGTTACTTCGCTTTAGCCTCTGACGCCCTGTGACCTGCAGGTCATGGGAGTCCTTGGCGTGGAAGCCGGGACCTCTGACAGCTGGGAGATGGTGAGTATGTTGGGGGTGTCCCGAGATGGGGACGGGATGGACCCGGATGACCTGGCAGTGCCGTGACTCCCCTCCCTCTCAGCTCTGAGCCTGCACCCCCTCCCTGCAGGCTTCTCAGCCAGGCCCCCTCAGCGTAGGTGAGGGTAGCCGGGACCCGGAGACCTTGTCCCTGTGGCGACATCGCCAGCTGAGCGCTCTCCATACAGACCCTCTCTCTGTGTGTTCGGGACCCACAAGGGTCGTGCGGAGGAAGGCTGGGGAGGAAGGATCGCCAGAAGCCAGCAGGTCGAGGCTGTGATGGCTGGGAAGGTGCCACTGCACTCTAGTCTGGGCGACAAAGTGAGGCTCCAACTCAAAAAAAAAAAAAAAAAAAAAAATTCCCAGAGACTCGGGCTCGGTGGCTCAACCTCTAATCCCAGCACTTTGGGAGGCCAAGGCGAGTGGACTGCCTGAGCCTGCGGGTTCAAGACCAGCCCGGGCAACTTTGTGAGACCTCGTCTCCACAATAAATTTAAAAATAGCTGGGCGTGGTAGCATGTGACTGTAGTTACAGCTACTTGGAGTCTGAGACTGAAGGATTGTCTGAGCCCTGAGGTCAGCAGGTCGACACTGGGGTGGCCATGAGCATACCACTGCACTCCAGCCTGGGTGACGGAGTGAGACTCAGACTCAAAAAAAAAAAAAAAGAAGTCCCAGAAGTTGGAGGAAAAGAAAAAGAATGACAGATTCTCAGGTAAATATATCCTAGGTCAGAAGGAGTGTCGTTTTTAAACTTGCAAACCTATACTGCTACTTATGATGATCCTGCCTAATGAGTTTGTTTCAACAATTTTTGTTCTTTCTGTGATATTCAAGGGCTCTGAAGGTCATGTCTCTCTACATACCAGAGCCCCCTCTGTTCTCATCATCCATGCTGCCGAGTTGCCGTGAACTGTTCTCACCGTGAATGTATGACCTGCAGTATAAAAATGTTCTCTTGTAGCTGGGGAACATGGGAAGGTGTGGATATCCAAGATTCCAATTAAAAATGGAGTATATCCTCAGATTCTAGTAAAGGATGGGAACATGTACGATTAAGATTTCACATGATGCTCCGTCAGCTCTATTGAGAACATGATTAATAAAATGAACATTCGCACAGGATGGCAGTTACCGCCCAGAACAACTCAGGAAGATCTGAATAAGGAATAATTTTTTTTTTTTGAGTTGGAGTCTCTGTCGCCCAGACTGGAGTGCAGTGGCTGCTCCCAGCCACCACAGCCTCTACCTGCTGGGCTCCGG